TAGGAGGATGTAGAAATTCCTAGAGAAATGTTCTCTCGGGTAAAAATATAGCAATTTTTGTATTCACGGTTTTTCACTTTCATAGAGGGTCCTGTGACCCTAATCCCAGAGAATGTGGTGGGGCAGACTGTACTCAAAATCTCCTGGCTAAACATTTTTGCTATTATAACTCTCATCTCCATAGTGGAAGACAATGTACAAGCCTCCCACTAGAAATTAATCCCAGTCTGAGGAATTAGAATACGGGGGGAAAGGAACCCCCCACCCTTCTGCTCTGTCACCCATGTATCTTACTCCTCATTACATCTACAAAATTTCCCTTCTCCAAGGCTCAGCCTTGGAGAATATATGACATAGAAAATTCTTTATACCCTCACTCCACGTATGCATTAGTGTTACAGCTTGGTTTGCTTTCGGCGAGGCTGCTCCCATGAGATAGGCATAATACTACTTAGCATTTATGTAGCACATTTCAAGTAGCCAACGTACTCCACGTACATCATTTCAATAATCCTTAGCCCTGTAAGTAAGCCACCACTATCATCATTCCCATATTGCAGGCAGAAGTTGAAAATATGGTCTAATGGTTGTCTAATGATGGTGATATTAGAGCTAAGGACTTTGCAGCAGAGCCAGAGCCACAAGTGCGGAGAAGGCAGAAAGCTTGTCCCTCTCAAGACACCCCTCTTGAATTAAAAGAAAAAGGCTTGGAAATTCTCACTTCTCTCCTTTTGATGGTGACCAAGCTGGATGGAGTGCCAGTGTTTTGCTATTACAAATATATTGGATGGACTGTTTTTAATCTTACTTGTTTCACTTTTCAAAGAACCCCACCTAAGTTTTGAATTACTAGATAAGCAGGTGGACAGCTCCCTTACTTTTCTGACCCATATAGCTAAAATTTTAAGGAGATTATGGGGTTGGAAGCTGTGGGGTACATCTACACTGTAGAATTAATGCAATTTGACTGCTATGGTGCAATGCTGTGGAATCATGAGAGATGTAGTTTGATGAGACAACAGCACTCTTTAGCAGAGAGGGCTAGTGACTTTGTCAAACTGCAACTCCCATGATTCATAGGATCATAGAGGTGGAAGAAACTACAAGGATCATCCAGTCCAATCCCCTGCCATGCAGGAATACACAATCAAAGCACTCCTTACAGATGGCCATCCAGCCTCTGCATAAAAACCCCGAGAGAAGAAGGAGGTTTTTAAGCAGCATATTCCACTGCCGAACAGCTCTTACTATCAGGAAGGTCATCCTAATGATTAGATGCAATCTTTCTCCCCAGCAATTTGAATCCATTGTTCTGTGTCCTGGTCTCCAGAGCAGCAGAAAACAAGCTTGCTCCCACCTCAGTGTGACATCCTTTCAAATATTTCAACATGGCTATCATGTCCCCTCTCAGCCTTCTTTTCTCCAAGCTAAACAGACCCATAATATTGAGCCATGGCAGTTCAAGCGGTGTTGAAGTGACTGATGAACTTGAAGGAGCTGGGGTGGTGACAGCCAACAGGGAACTCTGGTGTGGACTGGTCCATGAGGTCACAAAGAGTCAGAAACAACTGAACGAATAAAACAACAAACAACAAATTAAAAATGCCTAGCCTCTTGCATGTTTACTGTCATAGGAATTTAGAAAACTCTTCTTGTTAAGAGATTTTAATAAAATAAATATACTGTATATCCTATAAATCTAAGGCTTGTTCCTCACAGCTGTATAATCCAGAATATTAAGGCAGAAAATCCCACAATATCTGCTTTGAACTGGGTTATCCAAGCCTACACTGCCATATATCCCAATTCAAAGCAGATAATATGGAAATTTATTCAGCTGTGTGGAATTGGCCTCACATGATGCTGATGAAAATGTTTAAACCAATTTGCATTTTCTTGCTATTCCTTGCTATTCTCTGCAAGCAATATGAAGCCACCTACATATCCTAAATTGTTGATGGTTCTTCCCACTGTTTTTGTGCCTGCTTCCTTCTAGTCCCATCCTACTGTTTGTTATGTTCAATATATAACTTAAATAACAGAAGAGTATCATAATGCAGCATTGTGTGACCACCTTGACAATGGGAAAATGTTCTTATTTTTCAATATCATGTCCTGATATTCGCCTCTTGTCAAGAACAGGTTGAGTATCAGGGTTAATGTTTAAAAAAATAAATCCTAAAAACATTTTAGTCATAATATTTGAATGATAACATCGTGTATGTTTTCCGTTATATCTCCTTGTATTTTACTTTTCAGGTCACCTTGAATTCCAGCTTTGGGCAAAAGTATGATAGCTGGGACCCTACGCTACACTAGTTGTGCAATGCGGCTCAGAATTAATGGGAAGACGTGCGCAAGACAGCAGAGCGAGTGAGAGACGCAGCCGCAATAGGATAGTGAAGTAATATAACTCAGGTGGGAGAGGATAAGGGTGAAGTAATGTAAGAGTTGTTTAATGTTAAATGATAATGGCTTACAAAGACATTAAATGGGATAGAAATGTTACCTCTCCCCCTTTCTGGTGAGCAATGTTGTCATGACTCTGACACAGATGCATCTCTCACTCGCTCTGCTGTCTTGCGCACGTGTTCCCCTCATTAATTCATACTTGTGTTGTGCAATCAGCGTAGGTTCCCAGCTATCATACTTTTGCCCAGCTTTGGATGGAAAGCAGGGTGGGAATGATGTAAAAAAAAAGTTTAGCTGCTGTGTGAACAGAACTGAGTTAATCTCTACACCAGCCATGGGCAAACTTTGGCCCTACAGGTGTTTTAGACTTCAACTCCCACAATTCCTAACAGCCTTCTAGCATTTTTCTGAAGACTAGAAGGGATGGGGCCTGCCTGATGTTGCTGGGGAGGGACTTCCACAGCAAGGAGGCCGCCAATGGGAAGGCCCTGTCTCTTGTTCCCACCAATTGTGCTTGCGAAGGGGGTGGGACCGAGAGCAGCGCCTCCCCATCAGATCTTGAAGCTCTAGTTGGCTCATAAGGGGAGATGCATTCGGACAGGTAACTTGAATGGTCAACCCCCCTGTTTAAACAGCTCTACTGACTGTTGATAAGTCTCCGATCCCAATTCAAGGTGGAGGTTATGACCTATAAAGCTCTAAACGGTTTGGGACCTGGCTATCTTTGTGACCGCATCTTCCCTTAGGAATCCATGCAGTCTCTAAGATTTTCTGGGGAGACTCCTCTCACTCCCACCTCACTCGCTGCGCTGTCTTGCACACGTGTTCCCCTCATTAATTCAGACCCGTGTTGTGCAACCAGCATAGGGTTCCAGCTATCATACTTTTGCCCAGCCTTGGATGGAAAGCAGGGTGGGAATAATGTAAAAAAAATGTTTAGCTGCTGTGTGAACAGAACTGAGTTAATCTCTACACCAGCCATGGGCAAACTTCAGCCCTACAGGTGTTTTGGACTTCAACTCCCACAATTCCTAACAGCCTTCCAGCTTGTTCTACACTGTAAAATACAACAACAACAAAACTTTATTTATATACCACTCTATCTCCCCGACAGGACCCAGAGCAGTTTACATACAGAGTAAACAACAAAAACATAAAATTAACAAAGCAATATATGAAAAAACAATCACAATAGCACATATATATTTTAAATAATCCTGCCTGTTCAAGGCAATTTGAAAGGCTGTGCCAAAGCTAGTGCAATTTCTAGAGGCTCCAGGAAATTAGGTGCAATGCTATAGCAGGCAACAACAATAATAGGTATAGTCTATGGCTGTTCATTTCCTGGGCCTAATAGGAGGAAGTGACCTGAATAAGTAGTAGAAAAAGATATGGCCATATTCAACAATATATGGGGCTGAGCTAGAACTAGTCGTTCTCAAGGGCTTGTTTAAACCACCAGGTCTTCAAGCTCTTATGAAAGGAGGGGAGGGATGGGGCCTGTCTTGTTTCTCTAGGAAGGGTGTTCCAGAGGTGAGGGGCCACCACCGAGATGGCTGGAATCAAACTGAATGCATGGCTCAATGCTGTGCAATTTTGGGATCTGTGCTTTGGTGGGGCACCAGCAGTCTTTGGCAGAGAAGGCTAAAAGAACTAAATTCCCAGGATTTCATAACATCCAGCCATGGAAGCAAAAGTGGAGGGATGGGGCCTGTCTTATTTCTCTAGGAAGGGCGTTCCTGAGGTTTGTTTTGTTTTTTTTTTTTTTTGTCGTGTCAGGAGCAACCGCTCCTGTTGTGAGAGAATTGGCCGTCTGCAAGGACGTTGCCCAGGGGACGCCTGGATGATTTTTGATGTTTTATCATCCTTGTGGGAGGCTTCTCTCATGTCCCCGCATGAGGAGCTGGAGCTAATAGAGGGAGCTCATCTGCCTCTCCCCGGATTCGAACCTGCGACCTGTCGGTCTTCAGTCCTGTCGGCACAGTGCTTTAACCCACTGCGCCACCGGGGGCTCCTGAGGTGAGGGGCCACCACCAAGAAGGCTGGAATCAAACTGAACTGCCATGGCTCAATGCTGTGCAATTTTGGGATCTGTGCTTTGGTGGGGCACCAGCACTCTTTGGCAGAGAAGGCTAAAAGAGCTAAATTCCCAGAATTTCATAACATCCAGGCATGGAAGCAAAAGTGGTGTCAAAGTGCATTAACAGCAGTGTAGAACAGGCATGAGCAAATTTCAGCCCTCCAGATGTTTTGGACTACAATTCCCACAAATCCAAACAGGCTGTTAGAAATGGTGAGAGTTTGAAGTCCAAAACACCCGGCCTTGTGTAGAATGATGCAGTGTGAAATGGGAGCTTTTCTCAGAGGCCTTGATAACTCGGCTAAGCCTGCCTAAAGTTCTCCAATAATCTTCCAACAAAAATCCCCGTATGTAGAAAAACCACTCTAGGATTTTTTTTCCTTTCCTCTCCCAGCCAGAATACGAGAAAAGCGTGCTGGGGAGTTCTACGCATGCGCAACCTCTTCACGTTCTCCAGCGGGCTCCCTTGTGACGTCATGACGCGCGGTGAGGCGAGTGACGCACGCCCCGCCCACCGATATAAACGTCTGCGCGGAGCCGGCCGCCATTAGTGCCCGAGGAGCGCGAACCCACCACGCTCTTATTTTCGTCCCCCCTGGTTTTGGGGACCTTCCGCCTTTCCTCCTCTCTCCTTCCCCTTCCCTTTTCCTCTCTCCTTTTCTAGGTCGCGGAGATGCCGCGCGTCTATATCGGCCGCTTAAGCTACCATGTGCGGGAAAAGGACCTCCAGCGCTTCTTCAGCGGCTATGGCCGCTTGCTCGAAGTGGACTTAAAAAACGGGTGAGGAGGGGGGCCGAGCAGGGGGGCCACTCGGTCCGAAGGGAATGCTTGGGGAGCGGCGGGATCATAGCCCCCCCCCTTTCCTCCTCTCTCCGGCGGGGCTGTCAATCAAGGCCTCGCGCCCGCCGCGTGGCGCCTCAAAATGGCGGCCGGCTTCAACGGGCCTCGGCCCCCATTGTCCTCGCGCGCTGGCTGAACATCCGGGGACTTGCGCAGCAGACCGTGGGCGAACTGTGCGCTCAGTTATTTAGATCTCTGGCGGAAGGGCGGTTTTTTCAAAATTAGTTCAATTTGACGCCACTTGAACTGCTATGGCTCAGTGCTATGGTACCCTGGGAATTGTAGTTTCGTGATGCACTAGCACTCTTTGGCAGAGAAAGCAAAATATCTTATAAAACTACAACTCGCAATCATTCCGTAGGATTGAGTCATTACAGTTTAAACTGGTATCAGTTCTACAGTGTAAGCAAACTTCCACTCTCTGGGTGTTTTGGACTACAACGCCAGCTGTAGTCCAAAACAAACGTGAACCACAACATTGAAAGGGGAAAAAGTTGGCATATTGCAAAGCTGCCTGTTAGAAAAAAGGCACCTATAGTTGTTTTTCAGATGAGGCTATATTGAACCACACATTCCTACAGAATCTCAATTATGACCTCACCTCTGAGGATGCTTGCCATAGATGCAGGCGAAACGTCAGGAGAAATGCCTCTAGAACATGGCCATATAGCCCGAAAAGACCCACAAGAACTCAGTGATTCCGGCCATGAAAGCCTTCGACAATACATTCAATTGTGAATGTCTGGGGAGAGGTTTGAAGGCATGGCTGCTTACTGATGAGACCAAATTGAAGATAATTCGGTGTCTAATGTGCAACACATTTTGTTAGATCTTTTGTTAGTTGTAGTCCAAAACACCCGAAGGGCTGAACTTTGCCCATGCCTGGTGTAGATGCATCCTAGGATTTATCACAAGAGCAGTCTGGCAGAAAAGATGGAGGAGATGTAATGAATGCCTTTGGCATCGCCACCATACATATTTATTATTTGTTTGTTTACTTCACTTGTATACTGCTTTTCTCAACCCAGCGAGGGACTCAAAGTAGTTTTCAACATAATTATGGCAAAATTTAATGCCTCACATACAGAAACCTAACATAATGATAGTAGCATACATTTTTCAATTGTAAAACATGACATCATTTATCATTAAAACATTGAATTGAAAGCATCAATGTAAATATTAAAATCACACAATCCAACAGTCATAATAATAATATATATTTATTTATATCCTTCCTTTCTACCATGAAGGGGCCCAAAGTGGCTTCCAACTTATTAAATACAGTAAAAAAAGAAGAATCAACAAAATGGAGGCATCCATGTAATGTCAATAATAACATAATACAAAACAATTTAAAAAACTAAACAGTAAAACACAATTGGGTAAACAAATTCACAAATATCAAAAGCTGAGTTGATAGATTCAAAGCACACATCAATTTAAAAGCCTTATCAGTAAAACAATTAAAAATGCACATTTTAAAACCATATATGTTAATGTGGAGTTTTTTCAAATGATATTTCACTTGGCTCCAGCCTGACTATGTAGTCAACTTCTGGATACTAAATGTTAGTCACACTGGAGGACCTAGACAACCATAGTAGGTTTCTCTTTAGAAATCTCCAAATCCTCCAGCGTGAGTAGAGAAAGTGCACCATAGAGTCACATTGAAGGACCTAAAGCAAAGCTTTTAAATTAAATCCATGAGTTATCAAGCCTGTGAATGTCAGAATGACAAATGTGGAGGGATTACCATGATTTTAATCCCTTGACAGTACACCTGTTATCCATGTAGGGAGATGGGTAAGATTGCATTTCTTGCATAGTTGCAGTAATGTTATTTCTCTTCCTAGGTATGGGTTTGTGGAGTTCGAAGACTCTCGGGATGCAGAGGATGCCGTTTACGAGCTGAACGGCAAAGATCTGTGTGGGGAGCGGGTGATTGTGGAGCATGCCCGTGGCCCCCGTCGGGATAGGGACGGCTATAGCTACAGCAGCCGCAGTGAGTGTTGCTCTGGAGGCGTGGATGGGAAGCAGGGTGGGAGGGAGGAGGTGGCTCAGGCGAGAAAGGGGAGAGGGTGGCAGGTGAATGAATTTAGGTGGCTTGTTTCCCTAGGCAAAGATGTTGGAGGGAAAGGAGCAGCCCCCTTGGGAGAAAAGAGGGAACATGGATAGGTACCTGATTATGAGAGGTGTAGTACTGGGTGGATTCTGAAGACTGAAGGGGGTTTAATTTTTTCCCCTTTAGCCTTCTACACTAGAAGGATTTATTAAGAACTTAGATGCCCCCTTATGTAACTTGCACTGAAAAGTGGAATTTCTGGGGCTCCAGAGCATGGGGGATAATTGGGAAGGGACATGGGAATTTATATATATATATATATTAAAAACTCACTGCTCTTAATTGGAACATGCTTGGCATATGTGCTACCAAACGTGAACCACAAAATTGAATAGGGAAAGTGTTGGCATATTGTAAAGCTGCCTGTTAGAAAAAAGGCACTTATAGTTGTTTTTCAGATGACGCTATATTGAACCACACATTCCTACAGAATCTCAATTGTGAGTGTCTGGGGAGAGTTTTGAAGGCATGGCTGCTTACTGATGAGACTGAATTGAAGATAATTAGGTGTCTGATGTGCAACCCATTTTTTTAGATCTTTGTGGGATGCATCAAATTCATTTCACTTGAATTGTACTTGATGATTAAGAGCAGTAAGGTAAACAGTGGTTTGCTAGCGGTGGGAGTGGGGTTTCTTGTAAATGTGTATGTTTTTAAAAAAATGTTGCATGTTCAATTCAAACTTTTTAACAAGTCCTTGATGTTTCAATTTAAAAGTGACCAGTGGGGCTGAGGCTGTGTCCACTGAGGCTAAGATGACTGCCTTTCCTGATTGGCCATGGCTTTACCATACATTGTGTGACCCTTGCCCTATGACCCTTTGGCTGACCTTACCGGAAGCCATGACGACAGCAGCCTTTTGCCATTAGACGCAGGGTGATGGTGAGGATTCCAAGGGTTAGACAAAACTGGTTAAACTGAACTAGGTGACTGTTACCTTGCGTGTGTTGTGGCCAAACCACCACCAAATACCTCATACTGTGATGTAAGTACTTAGTGTAAACTAGTAATTTTTTTGTAAAATGTAGATATGCATGTAATCAGTTAAGTTTTATATTTTACAATGTTCTGTAAAATAAAACTTAGCAAGGTAAATCTAATAAAGGAGCAGTCACTCTCTAACAGAGTTTAGGAGCACAGTCTTGTAGGATTTTAGTCCTTAATTTGCCCTTAATATATAAAATGTGGCAAATTGAAAATTTTGTTGCAGGATTAGAAAACTAAAGTCCTAATCCTGTAAATACAATTTGAAACTAAAGTAAGCTAACTTGTGTTTGTTCTAATATAAGATTACTAACTTTGTTTCTTTGTATGATAAAGGTGGAGGATACAGCAGTCGAAGAACATCAGGAAGAGATAAATATGGGCCACCTGTTCGTACTGAATTCAGATTAATTGTTGAAAACCTTTCCAGTCGCTGTAGTTGGCAGGATTTGAAAGTAAGTTGAGAAAGCAAGCCTTCTTAAATCAACAAAATGTGCCATCTAGTACTTGATGCATTGTACTATCACTTAAACCTCAGAATGCACTTGTTGGAACTGTTGAATCTGATGAGTTTTGTCTTAAACCGGTATAGTAACACCTTTCTTTATTCCAAGGATTTCATGAGGCAAGCTGGTGAGGTCACTTACGCGGATGCTCACAAAGAACGCACAAACGAAGGAGTCATTGAGTTCCGGTCTTACTCTGACATGAAGCGAGCTCTGGACAAATTGGATGGTACTGAAATAAATGGACGAAAGATCAGGCTGGTCGAAGACAAACCACGGTCAAGCCACAGACGGTCTTATTCTGGGAGTCGATCAAGGTATACTGTTGTCAAATTTTAAAATTCTATAAATGAGTTTCCACCAGAATATTGGGAAGACCATCCTGGCCGTTCAACACTGGAACTCGCTGCCTCAGTGTGGTGGAGGCTTTTAATCAGAGGCTGGGTGGCCAACTGTCAGGATGCTTTTCCTGCCTTGCAGGGGGTTGGGTTGGATGACCCGTGTAGCCTCTACTAACCCTATGATTTGAAGGTTTCTAAACGTAGCAGTGCCTAACACCATTTGGGAGGGGGAGTTCCAATGTTCAGTTTTAAATGTCATTACATTAGATACAATTTTTTGAAGTCTCCACACCTATTTCTTTATTTATACCCCACTTTTATTTTCCTGGGCTCACATCAATTACATATCTTCTATTCCTACCTCACCCAGGATTTCATCATTTTATCTTGTCCATTTGGCCTGCCCATCCTGTTTGATTTCATATTGTATGAATTTGCTTTATTTTTTCATTTTGTTATTGTAATTTATTTTCTGGTGCATTTTGTTTTTTTGTATTTTACTGTTTTGTATTGTATTTTAAAGGGGCTTTTGTCCTTATGTTAGCCACCCCAAGTCCCCATTGGGGATATGGTGGCAGGGTATAAATAAAGATGATGATGATTATTTATTTATTTTACTGACACAAAACACAGTATGTCACAGCAAACAAGATCTGTATGCTGGATTTCGTATAAAAAAATCACAACTTGAACATTTCCCAAGCGTCAAGGGCTGTGTGATGTATTTTCAAATCATGCATGCAGATCCAAGTAAGGTGGCCTTTTGCAGTTGACAGATCATGATTTTGTCAGTGTTTATTGTAAATGCCGGCTGAGATCTTTTGGCACGGCACCCAGTGTGCCAATGAGCACTGGGACCACCTGTACTGGTTTATGCCAGAGCCTTTGCAGTTCGATTTTGAGGTCCTTATAATGGCTGAGTTTTTCCTGTTGTTTTTCCTCAATGTGACTGTCACCTAGTATGGCGACATCAATAATCCATTTTCTTCATTATCCCCCCCCCCCCCAAAAAAAAGGCCTATGGCACTGGCTGTGGGAGTTGGCTGGCTCAAAGAAGTAATTGCATCATCACCAATGTGGACTAGAGCATAGTATTCTCAGCTACGAAAAACCTTTAGAAAAGGCAGTCCTTTACAGAAAAAGAAAAATAGGCTTGTGATGGATGCATAAATATCTGAAATACACTTTCTTTCCAGGTCACGTTCTAGACGACGATCACGTAGCAGAAGTCGTAGGAGCAGCCGCAGTAGATCTCGTAGTGCCTCCAAAAGCCGATCACGGTAAGAATCGGGAATTATGCTTAAATTTTAATTATCAGTGATATGGACAGTGCAGTTAACTGGCTTCTAAATTAGTTGGTAATCTTAATTGTTAATATTTATGTGTATTTTTTACCATTAGTAATGATATTTTCCCCAAAAAGCTCTAAATCTAGGTCTCGGAGCAAAGATCGTTCACGTTCAAGATCTAAAAGTAGAAAGTCTAGATCAAAGAGCAAGACTGAGGTGAAGTCTGACAGAGGTTCACAGTCCCGCAGCAGATCCAAAGAGAAGTCTGAGAAGTCTCGCAGCAGATCTAGGTCTGCGTCTCTATCACCCAAAGAAAATGGTAAAGGGGAAGCAAAATCTAAATTGAGGTCAAGAAGCAGATCTCGTTCCAATTCTCCAGAGCAGCACCAACCTGAGAAGGCCCATTCAGAGTCTCCACCCAAAAGCGTCGCATCAAGGTCACGGTCACGATCTCATTCAAAATCTCGCTCACGCTCAAGATCCAGCTCACAAGATTAAGGCTGAAACTTCTATTTTCAAAATAATGTTGGAACATTTGTGTGCCAGGCCAGAAGTCTTTTTTTTTTAATGTTAGAATTGGGTAAAAGCTGGCTTGTTCTGTTGCAGAAGGAAACTGCCGAAAAACCAAGTAAATAAGGCAAAGATTTTAAGTCTAAAACTTCATGAAAAGGTTGTACAGAAATGGCAGAGACCAGAAAAAGATCTTTTTTTTTGTAGGAATTAGGCTACACCTTTGATTTTTTTAAAGTAGTGTCCCAGCAGAAATAATTGTTGCAGGGTGGAAGGTAGGTTTTGTAAAAAAAATAAAATGACAGCAGGGAGATTTTTTTTCATAATCACTTCCATTATTTAAAGATTATGGGCTGTGGCTTGTTTCTGAAAATACGTGAAAGCCTTATTGGTCAAAAATGCTTCTAAAAGTCATACAATGTCAAGCCAGCATTGAATTTAAATCGGGGATGTTTCATCTATGTTGTACTATAACTTGCCAAAAGTAACTTCTTTGCTCCTTTCTCACCATCTTGAGGCAGTATTGATAATCTAATAAAAATGATCTTCTCTAATTTTGTATGGTTCAGTTTTGAGTAAAGTTAACAAAGGAAGTTTTGACTTGTTGGGGGAAAATTTCTGTTGCCGTATAAATGTTTGGTTTCTAGAAAAAAATTGCATACTTTGCAATTCTCTGGCTGCTGAATATGAAATTACGAGACATACTCTAATACTGATGGCGAAAAGGAAGCTTAATGTATAGAGCTAAAGTCCTAGTCTTTATGGGTTATCTAAAACTAGACTTGCCGGTGCAGTTTATGCAACTGAAGTAGAATCTAGTGCTGAAGTCCCTTGTATGTAACAAATCACTTTAGCGACATTAGCAAAATATTAGCACAATCTTGTAACCTTTATATAAGATGTAGTTTGACTTGTATAAGATTAAATCAGTGTCTCCTATACTTGTATTGTAATATAGCTTTATTTGACAGATAACTATTGTAGAGTAGACTGGTCTCACTTCTTGTCCATGTGTAAAAGCAACAAGAACTTACTATATTCTTATATGGTGATTATGCTGTCAATCATCCAAAACATTTAGTGGCACTCGTTGAATGGCAATGTAGTGCTTTTTCCTTAGAATTTTGTTTTTAAAGAAGTCACTAGGCTTATTCCTGAACAATTTCATTAGGAGGAGACCAGGCAATACTCATCCTAAACATCACTGATGCATGAATTCTCCTAATCTGCATAATTTATATTGATAAAAATTCATTAGTAATAAACCCATCCGTGCTTTATTTTGTACTTCTCTAGAATCTGGTATCCATTTCTACAAGTCCCCTTCGGGGGAGATAAAGTGGGATATAAATAAATATCTCTTTATGTGGGCCTTAAAGTTCTTAAGGCTGATGGAACTGGCCCAAATTTAAATTTACTATTCTCTAGAAAATTGTGGGAGTAGGAATATGTTTAGAAGAAAATGGTTATCTGGAGAAAAAAATGTACTACGCAATATATTTTCTTCACTTTTTCCTTTATTTTGTGCGTCACTGCACTTGAATTTTTATGTATACAGAATATTTGTACCTTTCCTCAGTCACAAAGACTCAGCCGTTTACAATTTTTTGACAGTTCTCTGCCTTCAGCTTTACAATCTAGATATGACATGACACATACAGAAAATGGAATAGCCCCAACTATATAAGAGGATTAAATCCAGTTGATGCTTAGCCTCTTCTCTCCTTCCAAAGCACGTGTCAAAACCAAGGTCTGCAGGCTCAATCTTATTCCACCATGTCATTTTATGTGGCTCTCCAAATGATGGACTGTAAAACTCCAATATTCATCATTAGACATGACAAGCTAATAGCAGCTGTGAAACAGTAACATAAGGCTTGTGGATATGATGTCCAACTTTAAAATCCCCAACCTCAGAACCACCAGCACTGTTGGGTGTAATTCCCATTAGCCCCAGTCTACATGGCAGATAATCAAAAATGATGGGAGCTGTTCAATAACATCTGGGGTCCTAAACTGGATAAAAACTTCAAAAAGTATCAACTGTGTAGGAAAATTATAGTTGGCCCTCCGTATACATAAGTTCTCCATACATTGATTCAATGGCCTTTTAAAGACAACCTTAAAGCTGTTATGGCCCTTGATGTATATTAGTTTCACGCCTCTGCTCTAAGGCCAGAGCAGTAGAAGTTAGGATAAAAACCAGGTGTAACCCAGAAGAGCTGTTTTTTCTAGAGCCACAGTTAGCCCAATAATGTAACACAGAAAACACCAACCTTAGACTTTTAATGTCATCTACACCTCCAGGAGAATCTTCAAATAGTGAACATGATGGTTCAAGGAAAGTACATCACCAGATTAGCAAACTGCCCACCCCCTGGATATCTGCCTTACCTGGTTTGAAAGTCTGGGTTTGTCATCCATTTCCCAATGCCTCCATACATTTAGCTGTTCAGGGGGCACATATTCCTGGTGTTTTTGTTTGTTTGTTTTTTGTCTGTGTCAGGAGCGACTTGAGAAACTGCAAGTCGCTTCTGGTGTGAGAGAATTGGCCGTCTGCAAGGACATTGCCCAGGGGACGCCCGGATGATTTGATGTTTTTATCATCCTTGTGGGAGGCTTCTCTCATGTCCCCGCATGAGGAGCTGGAGCTGATAGAGGGAGCTCATCCGCCTCTCCCCGGATTCGAACCTGAACCTGTCGGTCTTCAGTCCTGCCAGCACGGGTTTAACCCACTGCGCCACCGGGGGCTCCAGGTGTTAACAGAAGTAAAGGTGTGTCATTCACATGTTCATGACACTTTTAGTCAAAATTTCAGGATGGCCTTTTTTACAGTATTCAGTTAAAGTGTGTGGAACAGGAAATCTATGATGACCATTTCCTGTAATGCCCATGGTGATCCTTACATGAAATAAGCTATTCAGTGTCAGATTCTGAATTGGCCTCAAATAATGTCGCAGATGGATAAGTATCAAAGACACTGTCTTGCACAAGAACATGCAAAATAGCTTTTCTTGGCCGTTTCTATAAATCGTTTAAGTCAAAAATCAAACTGGAAATCATGTCCAAATTGATCCAAATTGTCAGCATCATCCAAGATTGTAACCAAAAACCCTATGACTTCCAACAATTACCATTTTACTACTTTCAAGCAGAAAAAATAGCCAGTTTCAAAAACCTGTGGGGCAGAGGGTAATGGATGCAGCATACAAGTAGTAAGCCTCAGTCAGCAGTTTTGTAATGGCCCACCTCTTAAGGCAGCACTATCTGAAAATATCAAGTACAACATCATCTGGCAACATATCTGCTTCCAATTTTCACTCATGGCTATATAGCAGCCAATTTAGAACAGATGATTTTTAACTATAATGCAAATTGGTTACAGTATACTTCCAGTTATTTCACTCATTGTACCCAGGATGGAGCCAAAGCACTGTATGTAACAGAGACATCAGGAAACCACCCAAAGGTTTTATTGTGGCTAAAATTGTCAATTAAATACAAGGTTTGATGAGAAGGTAATGGGCAACTGAAAAAGTACCTTTTGCCTCCCTGCTTATTTTAGCATTCTTTGGGAGTATTGTCAATCTTCTTATACTTCCAATAAGCACTCACCAGTGTCCCATAACATATGTTCTTAGTAAGCTATAAGGATCTGCACTATGTGACCAATGGAATTGTAGCTAAGAGTTATTTATTTGTCATGTCAGAGCAACCAGTCCATTATATTACATTTCTAACAGAACAAACAAACAAACAGACAAATACAAAACTTGTGAGTTTGGTAGTTGGTTAAATGTCCTTTGACCAGTATCTGGCCACTTGGAGTGCTTCCGGTGTTGCTGCAAGAAGGTCCTCCATTGTGCATGTAGCAGGGCTCAGGTTGCATTGCAGCAGGTGGTCAGTGGTTTGCTCTTCTCCACACTTGCATGTTGAGGATTCCACTTTGTAGCCCCATTTCTGAAGGTTGGCTCTGCATCTCGTGGTGCCAGAGCAGTCTGTTCAGTGCCTTCCAAGTCGCCCAGTCTTCTGTGTGCCCAGGAGGAAGTCTCTCATTTGGTATCAGCCATTGGTTGAGGTGCTGGGTTTGAGCCTGCTACTTTTGGACTCTCGCTTGCTGAGGTGTTCCAGCGAGTGTCTCTGTAGATCTTAGAAAACTATTTCTTGATTTAAGTCGTTGACATGCTGGCTGATACCCAAACGGGATGAGCTGGAGATGTCTCTGCCTTGGTCCTTTCACTATTGGCTGCTACTTCCCTGCGGATGTCAGGTGGTGCAATACCGGCTAAGCAGTGTAATTTCTCCAGTGGTGTAGGGCGCAGACACCCCGTGATAATGCGGCATGTCTCATTCAGAGCCACATCTACTGTTTTAGTGTGGTGAGATGTGTTCCACACTGGGCATGCATACTCAGCAGCAGAGTAGCACAGCGCAAGGGCAGATGTCTTCACTGTATCTGATACAGCTACAGCTGTATCAGATACAGTTAATAGATACAGATACAGCTAAGAGCTAATAGCCATAAATGTATGTAAAAGCAATATGCATTTGGGAACAAAATAAAACAAGCCATGGAATTGGCTTGAGAATAATAGCAGGAAACTCACTAAAAATAGCAAAGTGCTGCTACACTGAAAGATGCAAAAATGTGGCTGCAACCACAACAAGATGTCTCCTTGATGTGGAGAGGCGCAAAGTTGTGATTCAATCAAGAAATGGACCACCATTTTATCTGGTGGTTCATCTAAGGCTGCATCTACATTGCCATATAATACAATTTCATAATACAGTTTAATGTTTATATATTGCCAAGTGGCAACACCTTAAGAGTGATTTACAAATGGCTAACACCAACACTTTGAAATGTGCTGAACATCATTAGCCTACATTCCCAGTTATCACAACCATAAGCTGATGGTAACACATAGGATGATGTAACCATACTTTCTCTGCATGTTTCTGCGACTACTGTAGGAAAGTGGCAAAACTCTTCAAGGCCATGTTGCAGTCTGACAAAGGTCTCTTCACATATAATGGGCTCTTGGAATCTTTTACACGATGGTTCTAGGACCATCTGTGGGTGCTGAAGTCCCATTGTATATATAAATAAAAATGTAATGTTTTTTTTTTGTGGGATTAATATAACTCAAAAACCACTGGGTGAATTGACACCAAATTTGGACACAATACACCTCTCAGGCCAACAAGTGGCTATCACTCATAAAAACACAGCAGAAGAAACTTTACAAGCCAAAAAATAAAAAATACATTTCAAGGCATGGACAAAACCACATGTATACACATACATACACACCAAAACACATATACACAGACTGGGCCACAGCAATGTGTGGCAGGGGATGGCTGGTATGTAAATAAAAATGTGTTCATTTGTGGGATTAACATAACTCAAAAACCACTGGGCAAATTGACACCACATTTGGACACAATACATCTATCAGGCAAATCACATATACACAGACTGGGCCACAGCAACGCATGGCAGGGGACAGCTAGTGACATGAAATGGTGTCCTTTATATAAACCCTTTTCA